ATCTATCTATCTATCTATCTATCTATCTATCTATCTATCTATCTATCTATCTATCTCTATCTCTATCTCTATCTCTATCTCTATCTCTATCTCTATCTCTATATCTATATCTATATCTATATATATTTAACAATTTAACCAGAACAAATAAATACTGGTAGTCCTCGACTTACATAAATTCATTTAGTGATCATTCAAAGTTTCAACAGCACTGAAAAAAATGACCATTTTTCACATTTACAACCATTGCAGCATTCCCATGGTCACATGATTAAAATTCAGATGTTTGGCAAGTAGTTCATATTTATGTGAGTGGCTTTTGTGACCTTCTGATAAGCATAGTCAATGGGGAATCCAGATTCACTTAACAACCATGTTGCTAACTTAACTGTGGCAGGAAAAGTTGTAAAATGGGGCAAACTCACTTAACAAATGTTTTACTTAGCAACATAAATTTTGGGCTCAATTGTGGTCGTAACTCGAGGACTACCCATAATTTGGAACTACTAGTAAACAGTAAGAAAAATATCAAAACATAAATTATTGAGAACTACAAATTTATCAAATTGCCTAATGAATTGTAGATGTACCTCTGCTGCAATAATCTTGGATTTTGTCAGATACGTTTAACAGCTGTTGAACACAAGTTTTTCTATAAACATCATATTCACATTAGTAAAATCCATTATAACATTTATAATATCCTAATACATCCTATAGTTATTTCTTTGCCATACAGGTGTACGGAAATAACTCATTACAATTTAGAAACCATTCAAATTGCATAAGGGAATAACATTTTTTAAAATAATATTTTTCTAGATTTTTTAAAAAGATTAAAAACAAAACAGCATATCAACAAGTATTTCAAATGCAATTATATGCAAAGATAATTTAATTCAAATTTAATTCTTGGAAAAGAATTAAATGAATTATTTTTCAAGAGTTAAACGCAAAGATGAAAAAAGTATAAAGTTTTAATTCAATATTTTTTTTGTCATCTAAAATATACAATTCAGGCAAGAAAACATAACAAATCAGAACATTTGATTTGAAAAATAGTATATAACCATAACAATTATTTTTCAAAGTTAATGCTTCATTGATTGATGTTTTTTATCATATAAAATGCAATTGAAAAGATTATAAGTTGATTTTTTATATTTTACAGAACACAGCAAAAATGTCTATATCTCATTTTAAGACATACATACTCTACAATATATGATACTTCAGGCCAAGACATATTTTGCTTCAAGTATTTTTTTCTGATTTAAAACAACATTTTTTTAAAAAGCATTAGAAATCAAAAGAACAAGTGTTTTCCCAGCTATAGAATCATGAATACTTACATAAAATAAAATACTTCTATTTTTGACCTTACTTTTCTTTATATTTCACCTAAATTTAGTCTTTTACTTTGCTGCTGACTCTCCTGCTTAGTCCATGTTTAGTTCAAAAATTCACCTGCCACATTTTAGCATATCACAGCATCATTTATTGTATCTGGTTGGCTGTTAAGTTATAATTATTTAAATTCATTCCATAATTTAAAAAACCATAGGAAACTATTTTTGCCTGCACTATTCATAAAAATATTCTGGTTTCTAACAGAAAATATATTCTTGGTTATATTGATCTATGCTGCTGTGTCATAGCAATAGTTTAAAAACTGGCAGAATGAGATGAATTTTTTATTAAATTAATTCTTAACAACAGGAGCACATTTCAAAATTAGTAAAAGTACCTTTGGTGGGGTGGAGTGTATTTCTTTTAGAATAAATAAGATGGGTTTTGTGTTACATGCAATATTAGAAAAATCCAAACATTTAACTTAAAAGCAATGTTCTCACCATTTTTCAATTCTGGGACTGGTTCCTTCAAAATCCCAAACTTGTGTATAAAGCCATTGGCATGTACGTTCTTTGCTTCTTTGTATCCTCTCTGTTGCAAAATCTATATGAGAAAATTCTTCTCCTTTACCTGCGGAGCGGAGATATATTGAGTACTGATCTTCTGTATAAACTATTTGTGGAAGACACCAAATAAGGTAGACGTTCTGGATATGACTGTATGGTATACTAACCCATCTTGAATTTGTACATAATTAATATTACATTTAAAAATATTAAATCAATGGACAAAATAATAGAAAAACTTAAAAGAAATACATAAATAAGTCAGCTTCCACACATTGCTTCTATAATTCTATTTATATTACAGATGCACAGAGATTTTTCCTCAGATCATAGAAGGCAGCTCCCTCTAATGGTGGTATTAATTAGCTGAGATTTAACTTCTGCTCCAAGGTAAAGACCTATGAAAATCTTAATGGTGCCATTTATTCACCTTCTACACTCTCTTCTGTTCTCACTGAGTCCCAAGATATTCTTCTATCTTTCTGTTTTCTCCTCAGTTTGCCTGTGCATAGAATCATATCACTTCTACTTTACTAATAGCTAAAGCAAAATTAAAAATAGGAATAGGCAGTGAGCAAGAATGTAGGAGATAAGCAATGGGCTGCAGTAACAGTACAACATTAGAAGCTATACTTTTCTTTACTGACATACAAAACAAGAAGGGAGAAAACACTTCCAGAACCTAGCCAAATTTGATACTTCTATCCAACAGATGAATTTGTAAAACAGAAGGATGAGAAGAAACCATCATACCTAAACATGTGTGAACCAAATTCAGTACCAGACAGAAGTGAGGTAATCTCCTGTGCAGACATTGCTTCAGAAAAGCAGGAGATATTGAAAAGTTACTTACAACCAGCTGGTAAAACTGCATTTATGAATGAAGAAATTCACATTGGAATATGTGGTATTATATCCTACATATGCTTATGTGGAGATGTCTTTTATTTCTTGTTTTGTCAGTCCAGGAAGCTTGACTTCTTTGGCTAATTCTATAATACGTCAAAACACTTCATGAAAGGTGTTGGAATGAACACCCTAATTAATTCCTGATTTTTTATAGTGCGAACTTGGATCATTGCTCAAAATCAGGTAACATGCCTAGCACCTGTTTCCTAAAACCGATTCAGGGCAGTCTGTGGGAATATTTAATCCCTTCACATATACACTAGAAAAACATCCTTTATTAAAACTTGAAGTCTCAAGAGAAATAAAGACATTTTATATGTTAGCTATTTTTAATTGCTTTTTTCCTTGTCATCAGCAACAGTTGTTTTATGTAAAGTTTATATGTAGAGGTTTTTTTTACATAAAATATAGTATTATCTTTGAGAAATTCTGGAAAACTGATGAAGACCCCCAAAATTGGAGGGAATAAATCCTACCTATGGCTCAAAAAGGGGCACAAAAGAAGACCCAGTGAACTGTAAATAAGCCCCCCGACAATGATTCTGGAAAGACCTAGACAAATAGTAAAGAAAGTACACTGAAAATTATAATTACTATGGCTGTGCAAAGCATTCTGAAATAGTTATTTACAGTCTGAAACTAGCTGTATTGATTTTTCTGAAGTGTTCTGAACTTGAAATGGGGCCATATTGAATTTGGAACAGATTATTAAGAGCAGCCCATTTCAAACTTGGGGAGGGGGGAAACTGTTTCGAACTCAAAACAGGCATTTTGAACTCAAATTATTTCAAATTCAAGAATTCTGCTTATTCCTAGTGATAATTTGCCAAGAGTAAGTCTTATTAGAATGTTCTTATTTCATTTCTAATGTGTTATTCTCTTTAGTTGACTATGGAATAACAATAAGGGTAGCATATCTTTATTTCAAAAGATTTGACTAAGTACTCTATAGCAAATTAGATGTTTATTGTGACTATGGTGCACTGATCAAAATATACCAAAACTGGTTGTAGGGAATACTGTATATGGCATGGGTATAGCTGACGCTGGTGTGTAATTTTTGTGACTTAAAAAAGAACCATCTGTGAAAGCTTCAATTGACTAAAGCCATGATGTGCCTTAGGGATCAATATCTATGGTGCCCATCCAATAATGATCATGGCACGTAGGAAATTGTAATGTAAGAGCAATAAATAGGAGTAAATATGAATTAATGTGTCTATAAAACTGAGAGAAAAGGATGACTGAATGAAGCTATGAAGATCTGCATTGATAAATAAATTCATGGGAATAAGGCAGTAAGTTTATGTATAAATTAAAGGGCTAAAAAATATAACAAATATAAGTTGATTGATATTTGCATTAAAATAAGAACCTATAATTTGATGACAATTGCATGCTATGCTCTAGTGAATGCTGATAAATGGAAGAACCAGAGGCAAAATTAGGGAAAACTGTAACATTCTGAATTAATGCAATTCGGTGGGGTGGGGGGTGTTTTGATAGGTGATATGAATGGATGCATGATAATAGGATTGAATGAGCAGGGCCATGCGGAAATTCAAGAATGAATGAGAATGGTGATTGATGAGTTTCTTCTGACTGTTTGAAGTCAATTGATACTTTAACTGGTCTTGTTATCCCTTGGAAGGCAAGTGAGAAGCAGATAAGTAGGAACTGCTACTGAATTCAGCCAAGAAACCACCACACTGTAGGTTCTGATGGCTAATCAAAATCTCAGGGAGTGAGATTTAGTTGGATAAATATACCTCCTCTTATATTTTTACTTAAATCCCAATCATAACCCCACTTGCTTCCAATCCAGCCAGCCCATGGTGCCTCTGCTGGCCAAAAACAGGCAATACAGAGGCCCCATGAGCCCTCCGTGGCCTGTTTTTGGCTGACAGTGCTGCTGGAGGCCGGGGAGGCTGAAACAGGTTACGCAGGGTCCTCATGGGGCCTCCACGTGACCCATTTTCAGCCGGAAAAGTGCTGTAGGAGGCCATGGAGGTCAAAATGAGGTGTGGGGGGCCACACGTGGTCCCCATGATCCATTTTGGCCAAAAAGTGCTGCAGGAGGCCGCCCAGGACAAAAACAGAGCAAGGGGGCTGTGTGCCACCACCCCATGCCCCGTTTTGGCCAGGATGCATCTGTCGTGCCCTCCTGCTCCCTTCTCTTTCCCCACTGGCCCATGGAGAACTACAATGCTGATCCAGCCCTCAAAGAAATCCAGTTTGACACCTCTGTTCTAGACTGTTATTTAGTAATGTGTCTAATAGTGAATGTGTGACCATTAGCTAATATTTGAATTTTAATACATTATTCTTCCTCACACAGAAGTTAATTCTAAGAAAACAGGCCTAATGGGCATATCTGAAGAAACAAACAGTTCCTAGAAAATATGTTTTAATTTAGCATTTCCAGATGGCATCCTAACCATACCGAATAATAGCATATCTAGCTTTTATACCAGAAGGCGACAATCCTATGTACATTAACTCAGGTTTCTATAGCCTTCAGTGGAACATGTTCACTTTATAAAAAATATTTTTTTAAAATCAACATTGTATCAACACAAATAGTGGTACAATTATTTAGATCTATAGTTATTTAAAAGAAGCAGTGCAGAAAGATTACAGTAACCTACTCTGAAAATTTGGTCTACAGACATAAAATCTTTCTTTATACTCTGTGTTGGTTTTCTTTTGGACAGTTGCTCAGGATGCCAATCCACATTTACAAACATTCTGATCTATCCAACCATAAAAAATCTTTTCTAACATACTCAATATAGGTGCATAATAAATTAAAAACATGATTAAATAAACAAAATATCAGAGTTACTCATATGGATTGATTTGGGAATAAATCCCAATGAATTCAATTCTGAGTAAACATTTATAGGAGTATGCTACCAATCTGCAGTTCTAGATGTTTTGATAATAATATCAACAGAATCAGAATTGAAAGTTTTCTGTTTATAAATACATTAATCTTAACTCAATATATTGATAGGGTCTATATCAAACAAGGTAATGAATATTTTCCAATATTGAATAACAGAACTATCTAAAACAAATGTTTCAGTATAACAATCTTCCCTGAAACTAAACTAATTAAAAAATCCAAATAGATCTTAGTACAAAGGACGGGAACAGGGAAAGGCTGAATAAAAACGTGCATATATATCAACCACATACATTATAAAATTTAAAGAGCTATTTAATCTTCTGATTTTAGGAATAATTTACTACCCACACAAACATCAATGCTACTACTGCCAGGATAAGATTAATAAAGAAAGTAGTTGTTCAATTCCTACATCCTGGATGAATTTCACAGCCTTGCACTACTGTGCCAACATCTAGATCTATATTTAATTTAACAGCAGCAGCAGCAGCAACAACAAAAAACTCAGCTTGCTTGAGGTTGCATTAAAAAAGAAGATAGGTATCAGAAGAATCTTATTTGTGGTCTGAAAGCAAAGCATAGTAATTGAGATTTTTTACTTATAAAAGTGGTTTATACTTTGTTCATAGTGACTGCAGATTTTGAAAACAAAGTTTACATTAAGAAAAGTGTTTATATATCTAAAAAAATTAAATAAGAAAATCACATCTATCCAATATCCTTTTTATTGTACCATTACATTATAAAACAATGATTTAAAGTCAATACTGTGAACTGAGAAATGAGTACACTTAAAATAAAGCTATCTACACATCTATGTATAACATATATGCAATATAAACAGGATATGTGTATTGCAGATATCAAATGATTCAGGTAAACAAATTTGCACCAAATTTGCATTTTCAGAAACAATTACTATGCCTGAAAGAACAAAAAAGTATTATAATAGGAGGACTCTTTAATTTATTGTTGGATCCTAATTTTGGTTATTTCTTTTGAAATTTCCGAGATGTGGGATCTTATTACAACTGAAAATGGCATTTTGCCTACAATATTGTCAACAATGTAGTATAATCTTTCCCAAGGGATCAGAAAAGCTTTGACATTTGTAAGAAACTGCATAGAAAGGTAAGTCTGATTACAATTGTTAAACAGCATATGTGTCAGAGTGATATGGCCCAGTTCAATTGAATATTCCTGGCCTTATTATGTTTTAGCATGTTGGGAATGAATAGCACAGC